TTGAAAAAAAAAAAAAATTGATTTACGTATAATATTATTTTATTAAAGATTATATTATTGAAAATAGGAGAGAGAAAAATAAAATTTAATGGAATGAAAATTTATGGGGGTCAAACAAGAACACTATTTTAATTATTTAAGACAACTTAATAAATAAAATAAAGAATACCAAGTAACTAAAATCATATATACTATGAATTGTTTAATAATTTCTACAACTAACCTAGACACTTCGTACTAATTAGGACCGGTCCCAAAATAACAAAAAACATTGTTGTTTTTCAAAATTAATTATATAAATGGACAAAAAATCCAATTGCAATTAATACGATCCAGTGATTCAATTTATTGCTAATATGGTCATGGTCAGGTTTTCTATGCGACTGATGCTGAAAATATAAGCACAAACAACATTTTGCTAGAAACAATCTAACACGAGAAAATAAACAAATTTAGCACATCAAGCCATCGATAGCTCGTTCTACAGGCATCCACACCAACATCAGCATTGTCAAAGTAAACTCAAATCCCAAATCTCTAATAACATTTTTGGCAAGCCATTAAAAGAGTTATCGAGATTAAGAAATTACTTCTAAAGACAATAATTTAAAAGTATTTACTTCTAAGGACCCCTGAGACCCTGTTTGGGAGTGATTTTTCACCTCCAAAAAATTGATTTTTTGATCGTTATTTCACTATTCCAACCATAATTTTTTACTTCTTCTCTCACATGTGACCCCCACTTTTTTCCCAATGGTTAAAAAATCAATTCTCAAAATTACTACTGAACAGACCCTAGTCTCATTGGAGAGAAGTTTTAGAGCATGTTTGAGCCCTTTTTTTTGTTCAAAATGTATTTTGAAATAATATTTTGATGGAGGATATGTAGTTAAAAAATTGGGATAATTACAGCAAAGGTCCCAAACTTTTAAAACATTAGCAGATTTTTTCCAAACCTTTAATTTGTTGCAATGGTCACTCCAAATCTTTTGAAATGTTGCAGCGAAAGTTCTTTTATACGATTTTCATCCAAATTTCTGTTAGCTGACTAAAAAATTTGATTTTGACCATATTTTTAATATTTTTTAAAAGGACAAAATAGTAACTTTCCGCCATGTTATTAAAATCGGCCCGGCACCGTCAGTTCAACCAGTAAAATTGGGAACTGGTTCCAAAATTGAGTCAATCATGCCCAGTTAACCGCTTAAAAATCATTGAATTGGCCGTTTAACCGTAAATCGATGAACCGGTCCCGATTTTGTGTCTCTCTCTTTTTTTTTTTTAATTTAAAAAATTTTAACTTCATGAATGAGCCTCATAAACAACAATTCAAAGACCCATAAAGAAATATTAGATGAGATGCTCCTTGTATAGATGCATTTATCTTAAATGATTTTATAAACTTCTAATGTGAGATAATGCATTTTATAGATGCAGTTCTCTCCAATGATTTTATAAACTTCCAATGTGGGATAATGACATAACAAAAATGTTGACAAATTATAAAATAATGAATCTAATTAACAAATTATTTGAATTTTTATGAAAAAAATTATTGTTTTCATAGTATTTTTATGTACTTATTGCATTCGGTTCTATCCCGATTCAACCCGATTGAACCTTTTGACCCTTAACCTCTTTTCCGAGTTGATGATCGGGTTGGTTTTTCAAAACATTGACTTTCCATTTACTACATTTAAAAATAGAAGTAAAAAAATAAAAACAGTAGATCTTCAACTTCCCCCCAACCCACCATCACCCACACAAAACTTCACTTCTCAAGGGATAACATACTCGCTCTCCTCATTCAAAACCCACAAAATATCCCCAATCTGAAAAGTAAATAAACAAAAATCCACATGTAAAGAACCCAAAAATCATCCCAAATCAAATTTACAAATTCAAGACTAGTACACAAAATAAAGCTGTTCGGACAAACAAAAGATAAAAATGCTAAATGGGTGTGATTGGAAAGCAAATGCACAAAGAGGCTATCTGGACGTGCTTCCTACAAAATAGAGAATTGATTTTCCTATCAAGTCATTGGGCCCACTTGATCTTTCAATGCAAAGTATTTTGTGTGTTTGTCCATTTTGCTCTCACATGCCTCCCACTTTGGCAATGTGCTAACCAATTGAAGGGCAAAAATGAGAAAAAGCCCTTGACGTGTATGTGGAAAGTCCGAGAAGAGCCAATACTTTGAATTTTTCAAGTGGTAAAAGACAAAGCAACAGTCGGAAAATTGATTTTAATCTACTTTGAAGTGGGACCAAACAGGCGCAAAATAAACATAGATAGATGGATGAATTTTAGAGCGGCAGTAGGTGACGGTGGGGCTGGGGAAAATTGAAGTTGAAGGCCAAACGCCGCTCCCGATTTTGCTCCATGCTTGGGGACACAGATAATATTCATGTGGATAAGACAGCCCTGTGTCGACCTTGCTATGGCAGTCCTTAGCCAACGGTGTCTTCACCCCAATGCACCATTATTATTCTCGCTGCCGTCGGGCCTCTAAGATGGATGTATAATTGCTTTTCCGTCACTTGTTGCCTAGGGATGTCAATTGGGGCTTGCCGACTAGAGCCGCCCATGGCTCAGTCCGAAAAAAGCCCGAGCTGATTTGGCTCGAGGCTCAGGCCAAGCCCATTTTGAGATTCCATATCAAGCCAGAGCGAGCACGTGTGGCTTGTTGGCTCAAGCTCGGGCTTTAATTAAAAAAGAAAAAAGAACAAAGGCAGCACTCTAAAAGGCAACCTAGTGCTATAAAAAAAATCGAGCCTGTCCGGCTAGGCTTTTCGGCTCGAGCCAAGGCTTATTTTTTTGGTCAAGCAAGAAAAAAGCCCGTTTGATTTTACTCAAGCCGAGCCCAAACCTTGAATTCGGCTCGCGAGCCGGCTCAACTCGACTCATTGACATGCCGTCAACTGCTAGGAAAAATTGAGTGTTTCTAGTTAAATTGAAATGAAATTAGGTGGGTTTAATCTGGGAATTGGGAGGTGGTATGACAAGAGGGGGATTAAATTTAATATTTAGGTTTTTTGAATGTAGTAAATGAAAAGTTACTATATTACCGTTTCAAAAATATTAAAAATATGGTCAAAGTCAAATTTTTTAATTAATTAATATACTTTTGGATGAAAATCATCTAAAAGAGCTTCTGCTGCAACGTTTCGAAAGGTTTGGGGTGACGATTGCAACAAATTAAAGATTTATGAGAAGTATGTTGATGTTTTAAAAGTTTGGGGCCTCTATTGCAATAATTTCTAAAAAGTAAGGAAATGTGTTGAGCCCTTGTTTGAGTCTCATTTTAAGTGAAAAAGTATTTTTAAATAGTGATTGATGGAGAATGTGTGGTTAAAAATTAATGAAAAATTTTGAATTTACGTGTAATATCATTTTATTGAAGAATGTGTGGTTGAGAATGAGTTTTGAAAAAATAAATTTTTGGAAGAATGATGATCAAACAAATCCTTAGATTTATGTGTAATATTATCTTATTGAAAAATATGTAATTGAAAAGAAGAAATAAAAAATATATTTTGAAATAATGGGATCAAATAAAGGCTTAATTTTTCAAAAATCTCTTTTACAAAATACGCAGAAATAACAATAGGAACCTGCCAAATGACCCAAGTGACAAATCCAATTATTTTGTCAGACACAAATTAAAACAAAGAATCCTTCCAGCTATTTTGTTTTATTGAGGTTTTTCCTTTCATAATCATATTTCCTTCTTTCCCCTCCAGGCTTCCACCACAACAAAAGAGTTCCCGTAAGGGCGGAGCTAAACTTGGAATCTTCCTCCATTTCTTCACAGTCCTTGCTCCTACCCACCCACCCACGCCAGTAAGCCCTCTTATATATATACATGGACGCTTTTTTGGAGTGAATTTTCTTGGTAACAGAGTGAACTTGATTGTTAACAGGTATATATCGTGATTACTGAGCGTATGGAGAGTAGAATCCCACCGGGAAGTTACTTCCAGTACTCTCCGTCTGGGGTTCATGGTTCACTTCAAAGGTCTTCGTCTCTTACAGATCGCGAAAGGTTTGGACTTTGATCTTCTTTTCTGATTCCTTTATTTTCCTTTAGTGTAATTCATTTTTTCTGTTTAACATCAATGTTTCTGTATATCCTTGAGGCTTTAATCTTTGTTTTTGTTGATGGGTTTAAATCTGAGCATAGTCAAATACAGTTTTAGTATTGTATTTTCTGGTCATTTTTCAAGTTTACTCTGCATCCTCTTGGTTAAAATGTTGCTAATTGCCTACATTATTTGCAAGTTGCGTGTGGTTTTATCACTGATGACATCTTCTAATTCCTTGTACAGGCTATATTATTGTGTGTGTTTAACATTGAGTCACACTTAATTTGATTGTTGCCTTAGTATGAATTTTTAATGCTGTCACGATGCAGTCTTCATTGTAAAAGAATTAGACACAAGCTTCTTGTTCCATCTTAAATTTGTATCCCCAAAGGGCATTTTCTGCCGTCAAATTTAGATTGGATGCCCTCTTGTTTTAACCTGCCTAAGTGAGATAATTCAAGAATTTAGAACTAAAATTAATATATTTTCTGTCTTGAGTAACTATCCGAATTCCTCGATGGAGCTCATAATCCAATATGTTCCCGAGTCAATCTTCTTAGTCTTTATTGGTATGAAACTTTTATTATTGAGAGATGCTCTTGTTATTCCCAAGAAGACGGCTCGGTAACAGCCCGCTTCTTCCACAGCGTGTCCCGTTCTAACTTATAAATTCTCAAAATACTTATTATCTCGTAGCCATCAAGTCTGAACTTCCCTTTTTATACAATTGGCTTTATACCGTGCTAGTTGAATATGAATTTCCTTTGTTATATGCTTGGCTTTATAAGGTGCTTAGAAAGACAATTCTTTGATGATCTGGTGTTAATCTTTCACTGAGCATGCTTAATTGCGGTACATGATTTGGTTGGTTTGACATTGACAGATATTTGGCAGATTTACTGGCAGAGAGGAAAAAATTAGCACCATTCATGCAGATTCTCCCAGTTTGCAGCAGACTTCTAAATCAAGGTCGTTATGTGCTACTAGGAGAGAGGCAAAAATTAGCACCATTCATGTTCTAGTGGTCTACCTCTTGCTTTCCAAACTCATTCTACTTTGATTTTGACCATGTTTCTCTAATTTCAATAATCAGGAAGAAAATTAAACAAACTTATGGGAAATACTATACAAGTGATCGTTGATTTAAAGAGACAAATTTTTCGAGTATTTATCTTGCAGTACTTGCTATTTTCAGTATATGAAAAAAATAATTTGCAGGGAACTTCTCCATGCCTTTGGTTGTTACTATTATATTCTAACACAAGAGAACTACCTAGTGAAATTATTCAGGATCTTAGTTAAGCCTGGAAATGCATCCAGTTAAGTTGAGGGGATATATTGTGCTAAATCTGCTAAACGTTAATTTTTTAATATCCATATGCTGTTTACCTGACCCAAAAATATGACTGGCAAGCTGACTCTACTTTAGCTTGGCAAGTTCTTGATGAAGCTTGATTACCGCAACACATTTGTTAATGTGATGCATCCAGCTTACTCCTCAATGTTTATAGATATCAAGCATGACATAACCAAGGCTACCTCTTTTCATTTACGTCGAAATTTAATGAGATCAAGAAAATCGGTTAATTCTTCTTTAAACACAATTTAAAACTGAATTTTACAATTTGAAACCAGATCATTAGTTTTTCAGTTCTTTAGCTAAGCGATGCAGAACAAATGATCCTATTGAACACTTCAGCAGTCAAGCCAAAAACAAAAGTTTGATGCATATGTATTGATGTATATAATCTTCTATCCTTTAAATAAACTTGTCTCTAGATAACTTGTTGGCGTGATTTTAAGAACATATACCTTCAATACCAAGAAATGGTGAAACTAATAGGTATATTGAGAAAAGCTAAATATAGCAAGTTTCATGTTAAGGCGATTAAGAACATTCCAGAGTGCGTTTAGGTGGTTTTATTCTGGTTTAGCTCTGTTTTCTTTTCAGCCATTGAGGTGAATCTAGGATCTGGTTTGAGATAAAAAAATACTTAAAATCAATCTATTTCTTAACATTTTGATGTTGTGAAAAAGAATAAGAAGATCAAGCTAAACCTACATCATTGCACGGCATGACTGCCTCTAGATCTGAACCCTTTATTCTGTATTTCTCCATCAAGGCTTTTCTGTTGTGATTTATAGCAGATAAGCCTAGAAAAGGAAATCTAATAAATAATAATTGCATAACTGCAATCAATGACTCCATGGTTATGACTTATGATCCCTTAAGATCTTTGAAGTTCTTTTCCCATTGAATGGCGGGTGATGAGGAGCTCGTCATTTGGCACTGACCTGAATTTTACAATTTTGGCAACACAAATGCTGTTATATGTTTTAACCACTGACTTAGCATAATATTGTTATACTAAGCATGGTATGTCTATAGTTCGAAATGTATTTGTTGATTTGATACCATCACTGGCTGCTGTTCTATCAGGGTTATGTATTCGAATTGAGTTGTCTAGGGATAAATTAGTTACATTACAGATTGCAGCCTAAGGCATATTCTTGTGTTGGATATCCACTGCAGGTGTTAAATTATTTTCTGTCAGTTTTTCCTCTATTGCAATTTCGTATTGAACTGTTTTCAGTTATGTTTTACTTTTGCAGAAATCATGCGAGTATCAGGATTGATATCTAATAAGCTAATAGAACTCGAAAGAATGGGACATGATAATCCGTATAGGTCATTGGGTCAACAGCCAAATGGAGGACCAATGAGTGTAATGGCATGGAATGCCATGCAAACTGAGGTGTGATCTATTTTATCTATTTTGGAGTTAATTTGGCTATGGACTATGAATTTTGAATGGAGAGATGGATTTGATCATCTATTTGATTGTAAACATGATTCTTATGGACTATATTTCTCCAATCTGTGATAATAAAACCAAAGTGTGAACACAATCTGCTAGTTAATTGTTGATATATATATATATATATATATATATATATATATATATATATATATATATATATATATATATATATATATATATATATATATATATATATATATATATATATATATATATATATATATATATATATATATATATATATATATATATATATATATATATATATATATATATATATATATATATATATATATATATATATATATATATATATATATATATATATATATATATATATATACTTTTTTTTTTCCCTGTTAGTCATTAACTTAGCTGTTCAAATTTTTGGTCTGATGTTTAAATTTGTGCTCCAGTTTTTCAGTAATTTAGGGGCACATACTACGAAGAACTTAAGTGATGTGATTGAAATTTGTATGAAATGTTACATGGGCAACTATTGCAGCTAAAATCATTTGTAAGAGATGTGCTATTTATGTCGACCAGCTTCATTGTTTTATGAATTTCCAATTCTGAGATTTAATTTTGGAAGATATATTTAGTAGCTGTACAGAGAGCATCTTCTAACATAAAATCGTCAATTGTGATTCCTTCTAAGAGTATTTCCTCAAGTCGGCTAGGATTATGTAACAGATATTACTTCTGATAGAAAATCCTCAGCCAATTTAAAGAAAATTTCCCTTCTTGATTAGTATCTGGACATTTGACGAAACTTCCCTCTTCTTCCATGGAAGAGTGGTCGTATTTAAATAGTCATTCCCACTTGGATAGATGGGGCACCACAAACAAGGAAGGGGTTTAAAATCCCTATTTCTATCTATTGATGAGACTACTATCTTTTCATGATCCATCAGAAAAGTTTGCAGGTCAAAATTTTTTGGTCTAATGCTTTGAATTGAGATTGGAAGTTCATTTATATAGCGACCTACATTATGAAAACTTAAAAGGATATTGTTCAAATTATTTTTAAATATCAAACATTAAATGGTTGCAGCTAAAATCATTTTTAAGGCACGTGCATTTTATGTTCTCATTTTACGAAGGCTTTTAAATCTATGACTAAATCTGCGAAAGATGTCTTCTGTTATGCACTGAGCATATATGGAGAGTAAATTGTGCTTCCGTATAGAATTTGCAATTTAAAGGAAGTTTCAAAAATAATAAACATAGCATAATTACCAACATTTTGGCCATTTAAATAAAGTTGCATTTCTTGATATTATTTCTTGAATTAGTGTCTGGAAATTCATCAAAAATTCTCGCTTCTTATATGCATCATTGTTTCTCATTTTAAATGCTCCTAACCTCCCATCTACATCTAGTAAAAATAAAATAAGCTGTGTGCTTAAATTCCTCACATTCTCATATAGTTTGTATTAAATGTGGAGTGCTCTCATACTCAAATGAGAATGGATACATGTGCTACTTATCCCAAACACAGAGCAATAGTTTGGACAGCCCTGCTTAGATAGGAAAGTATTTGGATTCTCCCATTTGCAAGATGTCTGCAGTGTGCTGTTGGTTAAAAAATTATATCTTAATGCAATCCATATCTCATTTATGTAACTGTTTATTCATCTAAAAGACCTTTATGATTTCTTCACTTGTATGAAAGTACAAGCATTACTTAAAATATTTTGCTCATATCTACTTGTAAAATTCCTTCAGATGTTTGCCATATGTATGTAGCCTGATGTCTAGATGATGTGTTGTCTTTAGATAACTAAACAGTGACATATATTGATTTTTTATTTAGTGGTTTTTTGCTAGAAATTCTGAAATGCAGTGGATTCTGCCTTGTTCTGCTTTTGTTCCTTATCAAAACACAGAGCCATTCCATAATTAGGTTGCATTGAATTAGTTTGTAAGTCCTTAGACTAGTTCAATAGTGGCTTCAGATAACACAGTTTGTGGGCTTGCTGATATCTCAGTGCATCCGTATTTGAGAAGAGGCCATTAATATTTAGCAACATTAATGCATTGGATGGCTGCAGTCAAATAATTTTTTTTGAAACTGATTGGAAAATGTACATGTTTAATGTACCTCATCAGGAAGATAAGCTCCTTCAGAAAATGGCTCCGTTTCAACCATCTTCTCTAAACTGGAATGCAGTACCTGGTACAAGAACCACTCCAGTTGTGAAGAAGGTTATCCGACTGGATGTTCCTGTGGAGAAATACCCAAGCGTGAGTAAAATTATCTTTAGCAAAATGCAGTTTAGTTATTTATCTTTATCCATATTGTTGAAAGATATAGAAAGTAACTTCTAACTTGAATTTGTGCAGTATAATTTTGTTGGCCGAATTTTGGGACCGCGTGGAAACTCTTTGAAAAGGGTTGAAGCTATGACAGAATGTAGAATATATATTAGGGGTCAGGGCTCAGTGAAGGATACTCTTGAGGTAACAATTCGTTTTACTTTTGGTTATATGACATGGTTGTGTTCTGTCGGCTACTACAGACCAAATTGGGGAGGTAGATTGTAAATTCATGTAAACTTCTATTCTGTTTTTATCACCTTAAATTCAGACTTACGCATATGTCAGATAATATGTTTCCCTAATAACCCTTGAAATTTGAGGCGGTTATTGTTCCCTTTGGACTTATCACTTGTTTGATTACTGTTCTAAATGTTATGATTTTCATCCAGCCTTCAAGACGGAAGGATATTTTGAGTTCTATCTGGCATAAATAGCTCTTTTCAACTATTATCACCATGGCGATGTGTATCTCCCTTTACATTTTTGAATGCGAATTATATAAATTTACATTTTAAATTATGGATAATCACTCGGTTGCCCTTGGGAAAAATATTTTCCACGGAAAAGATTTTTATGCTGTCTTCTCAAAAACTGTAACTTGAGATTGTAATTCCACCTTATTTGAAGTCAAATACGATACAAGGATAAGAATGTAGATCAATGCTTGTATATACTTAACCATGTTCAATGTCATCACCAAGCTTTACTGGTTTTGTTACTACCAACATGAATTTACTGTTTTCCAGCTGTGAGGCTAGAGGCTGAGTGAATATTGGTGATGTCTTTTCAAATTTCTCACAACTGTGTCCTTTATCTCCTTAGGAAGAGAAACTAAAAGACAAACCTGGATACGAGCACCTAAACGAACCACTACACATCTTGGTGGAGGCCGAATTTCCCGAGAACATCATAGATGCCCGCTTGGATCATGCAGTAGCTGTACTTGAAAAACTCTTAAAACCTGTGGTATGGATTTGAAGTTTTGAACAGCTTTGCAGCCCTTTGATATCATTAACCCCATCTTATTTTTAGGCATCTTACTGTTTCTCCCTTTCTCCTTTCAGGATGAATCCATGGACGTTTACAAGAAGCAACAGCTGAGAGAGTTGGCTATGCTAAATGGTACTCTTCGGGAAGAAAGCCCTAGCATGAGCCCGAGTATGAGCCCAAGCATGTCTCCTTTTAACAGCAATTGCATGAAACGAGCCAAAACAGGATTGTAACACTGCACGATAACTAATGGCATCTCTTGTGATATCGAAGTTGCTAGCTTGAAATTAACATTCCAATGATATGCGTAAAAGTTGCTCTCGATACGAATTCAGCCAAATTCGTTTGGGATGGATTAGAATGACTCCGTGCTGTGCTTCTGCTCACGATGGTGGGAACTGAGACAGAGAATGCTTCATTTCAAGTAGATTGAAGAAAATTTTGCTCTACTTATGACAGTCTATATATATATATATTAATGCACCACTGCCTTATTTAGATTGTTATAAGCGTTATACATTCGTTGCCGTAATGTCATTCTTGTGCTCCGTTACTACTGTCTTCAATGGCTAAATAGCCTACAACATTTTAAGATATTTGAAGATTTCTATTTCCTGCGTTCAATTCTGGCAGACTTCATTCAGAAAACATGTTTGAGTAATGATATATTTTGTTTTGACCTTTGAATGTACTATGTTGCTATCTATTGCTTTTTGTTGAAACTTGCTTTGTTGGTTCTGTTATGATTCTAATATTCATTCTTCTACAATAGTAGATTCAGGTTTTTAGTGTCTCTTCGTTGACTCAACTTCAAGAGTTTCATAACACTTAGCTCGGGTTTTGAGGAACAAAAGCAGCACTCTAAAAGGCGACCTAGAGCTATAAAAAAAAATAGAAAAAATCGAGTCGGCTCAACTCGGCTCATTGACATGCCGTCAACTGCTAGGAAGAATTGAGTGTTTCTAGTTAAATTGAAATGAAATTAGGTGGGTTTAATTTGGGAATTGGGAGGTGGTATGACAAGAGGGGGATTAAATTTAATATTTAGGTTTTTTGAATGTAGTAAATGAAAAGTTACTATTTTATCCTTTCAAAAATATTAAAAATATGGTCAAAATCAAAATTTTTAGTCAATTAATATACTTTTGGATGAAAATCATCTAAAAGAGCTTCTGCTACAATGTTTCGAAAGGTTTAGGATGACGATTGTAACAAATTAAAGATTTATGAGAAGTCTGTTGATATTTTAGAAGTTTGGGGTCTCTACTGCAATAATTCCTAAAAAGTAAGGAAATGTTTGAGCCCTTGTTTGAGCCCCATTTTAAGTGAAAAAGTATTTTTAAATAGTGATTGATAAAGAATGTGTGGGTAAAAATTAATGAAAAATTTTGAATTTACGTGTAATATCATTTTATTGAAGAATGTGCGAATGAGAATGAATTTTGAAAAAATGAAATTTTGGAAGAGTGGTGATCAAACAAATCCTTAAATTTATGTGTAATATTATCTTATTGAAAAATATGTAATTGAAAAGAAAAAATAAAAAATATATTTTGAAATAATGAGATCAAATAAAGGATTAATTTTTCAAAAATCTCTTTTACAAAATACGCAGAAATAAAAATAGGAACCTGCCAAATGACCTAAGTGACAAATCCAATTATTTTGTCAGACACAAATTAAAACAAAGAATCCTTCCAGCTATTTTGTTTTATTGAGGTTTTTCCTTTCATAATCATATTTCCTTCTTTCCCCTCCAGGCCTCCACCACAACAAAAGAGTTCCCGTAAGGGCGGAGCTAAACTTGGAATCTTCCTCCATTTCTTCACAGTCCTTGCTCCTACCCACCCACGCACCCCAGTAAGCCCTCTTATATATATACATGGACGCTTTTTTGGAGTGAATTTTCTTGGTAACAGAGTGAACTTGATTGTTAACAGGTATATATCGTGATTACTGAGCGTATGGAGAGTAGAATCCCACCGGGAAGTTACTTCCAGTACTCTCCGTCTGGGGTTCATGGTTCACTTCAAAGGTCTTCGTCTCTTACAGATCGCGAAAGGTTTGGACTTTGATCTTCTTTTCTGATTCCTTTATTTTCCTTTAGTGTAATTCATTTTTTCTGTTTAACATCAATGTTTCTGTATATCCTTGAGGCTTTAATCTTTGTTTTTTGTTGATGGGTTTAAATCTGAGCATAGTCAAATACAGTTTTAGTATTGTATTTTCTGGTCATTTTTCAAGTTTACTCTGCATCCTCTTGGTTAAAATGTTGCTAATTGCCTACATTATTTGCAAGTTGCGTGTGGTTTTATCACTGATGACATCTTCTAATTCCTTGTACAGGCTATATTATTGTGTGTGTTTAACATTGAGTCACACTTAATTTGATTGTTGCCTTAGTATGAATTTTTAATGCTGTCACGATGCAGTCTTCATTGTAAAAGAATTAGACACAAGCTTCTTGTTCCATCTTAAATTTGTATCCCCAAAGGGCATTTTCTGCCGTCAAATTTAGATTGGATGCCCTCTTGTTTTAACCTGCCTAAGTGAGATAATTCAAGAATTTAGAACTAAAATTAATATATTTTCTGTCTTGAGTAACTATCCGAATTCCTCGATGGAGCTCATAATCCAATATGTTCACGAGTCAATCTTCTTAGTCTTTATTGGTATGAAACTTTTATTATTGAGAGATGCTCTTGTTATTCCCAAGAAGACGGCTCGGTAACAGCCCGCTTCTTCCACAGCGTGTCCCGTTCTAACTTATAAATTCTCAAAATACTTATTATCTCGTAGCCATCAAGTCTGAACTTCCCTTTTTATACAATTGGCTTTATACCGTGCTAGTTGAATATGAATTTCCTTTGTTATATGCTTGGCTTTATAAGGTGCTTAGAAAGACAATTCTTTGATGATCTGGTGTTAATCTTTCGCTGAGCATGCTTAATTGCGGTACATGATTTGGTTGGTTTGACATTGACAGATATTTGGCAGATTTACTGGCAGAGAGGAAAAAATTAGCACCATTCATGCAGATTCTCCCAGTTTGCAGCAGACTTCTAAATCAAGGTCGTTATGTGCTACTAGGAGAGAGGCAAAAATTAGCACCATTCATGTTCTAGTGGTCTACCTCTTGCTTTCCAAACTCATTCTACTTTGATTTTGACCATGTTTCTCTAATTTCAATAATCAGGAAGAAAATTAAACAAACTTATGGGAAATACTATACAAGTGATCGTTGATTTAAAGAGGCAAATTTTTCGAGTATTTATCTTGCAGTACTTGCTATTTTCAGTATATGAAAAAAATAATTTGCAGGGAACTTCTCCATGCCTTTGGTTGTTACTATTATATTCTAACACAAGAGAACTACCTAGTGAAATTATTCAGGATCTTAGTTAAGCCTGGAAATGCATCCAGTTAAGTTGAGGGGATATATTGTGCTAAATCTGCTAAACGTTAATTTTTTAATATCCATATGCTGTTTACCTGACCCAAAAATATGACTGGCAAGCTGACTCTACTTTAGCTTGGCAAGTTCTTGATGAAGCTTGATTACCGCAACACATTTGTTAATGTGATGCATCCAGCTTACTCCTCAATGTTTATAGATATCAAGCATGACATAACCAAGGCTACCTCTTTTCATTTACGTCGAAATTTAATGAGATCAAGAAAATCGGTTAATTCTTCTTTAAACACAATTTAAAACTGAATTTTACAATTTGAAACCAGATCATTAGTTTTTCAGTTCTTTAGCTAAGCGATGCAGAACAAATGATCCTATTGAACACTTCAGCAGTCAAGCCAAAAACAAAAGTTTGATGCATATGTATTGATGTATATAATCTTCTATCCTTTAAATAAACTTGTCTCTAGATAACTTGTTGGCGTGATTTTAAGAACATATACCTTCAATACCAAGAAATGGTGAAACTAATAGGTATATTGAGAAAAGCTAAATATAGCAAGTTTCATGTTAAGGCGATTAAGAACATTCCAGAGTGCGTTTAGGTGGTTTTATTCTGGTTTAGCTCTGTTTTCTTTTCAGCCATTGAGGTGAATCTAGGATCTGGTTTGAGATAAAAAAATACTTAAAATCAATCTATTTCTTAACATTTTGATGTTGTGAAAAAGAATAAGAAGATCAAGCTAAACCTACATCATTGCACGGCATGACTGCCTCTAGATCTGAACCCTTTATTCTGTATTTCTCCATCAAGGCTTTTCTGTTGTGATTTATAGCAGATAAGCCTAGAAAAGGAAATCTAATAAATAATAATTGCATAACTGCAATCAATGACTCCATGGTTATGACTTATGATCCCTTAAGATCTTTGAAGTTCTTTTCCCATTGAATGGCGGGTGATGAGAAGCTCGTCATTTGGCACTGACCTGAATTTTACAATTTTGGCAACACAAATGCTGTTATATGTTTTAACCACTGACTTAGCATAATATTGTTATACTAAGCATGGTATGTCTATAGTTCGAAATGTATTTGTTGATTTGATACCATCACTGGCTGCTGTTCTATCAGGGTTATGTATTCGAATTGAGTTGTCTAGGGATAAATTAGTTACATTACAGATTGTAGCCTAAGGCATATTCTTGTGTTGGATATCCACTGCAGGTGTTAAATTATTTTCTGTCAGTTTTTCCTCTATTGCAATTTCGTATTGAACTGTTTTCAGTTATGTTTTACTTTTGCAGAAATCATGCGAGTATCAGGATTGATATCTAATAAGCTAATAGAACTCGAAAGAATGGGACATGATAATCCGTATAGGTCATTGGGTCAACAGCCTAATGGAGGACCAATGAGTGTAATGGCATGGAATGCCATGCAAACTGAGGTGTGATCTATTTTATCTATTTTGGAGTTAATTTGGCTATGGACTATGAATTTTGAATGGAGAGATGGATTTGATCATCTATTTGATTGTAAAAATGATTCTTATGGACTATATTTCTCCAATCTGTGATAATAAAACCAAAGTGTGAACACAATCTGCTAGTTAATTGTTGATATATATATATATATATATATATATATATATATATACTTTTTTTTTTCCCTGTTAGTCATTAACTTAGCTGTTCAAATTTTTGGTCTGATGTTTAAATTTGTGCTCCAGTTTTTCAGTAATTTAGGGGCACATACTACGAAGAACTTAAGTGATGTGATTGAAATTTGTATGAAATGTTACATGGGCAACTATTGCAACTAAAATCATTTGTAAGAGATGTGCTATTTATGTCGACCAGCTTCATTGTTTTATGAATTTCCAATTCTGAGATTTAATTTTGGAAGATATATTTAGTAGCTGTACAGAGAGCATCTTCTAACATAAAATCGTCAATTGTGATTCCTTCTAAGAGTATTTCCTCAAGTCGGCTAGGATTATGTAACAGATATTACTTCTGATAGAAAATCCTCAGCCAATTTAAAGAAAATTTCCCTTCTTGATTAGTATCTGGACATTTGACGAAACTTCCCTCTTCTTCCATGGAAGAGTGGTCGTATTTAAATAGTCATTCCCACTTGGATAGATGGGGCACCACAAACAAGGAAGGGGTTTAAAATCCCTATTTCTATCTATTGATGAGACTACTATCTTTTCATGATCCATCAGAAAAGTTTGCAGGTCAAAATTTTTTGGTCTAATGTTTTGAACTTGAGATTGGAAGTTCATTTATATAGCGACCTACATTATGAAAACTTAAAAGGATATTGTTCAAATTATTATTAAATATCAAACATTAAATGGTTGCAGCTAAAATCATTTTTAAGGCACGTGCATTTTATGTTCTCATTTTACGAAGGCTTTTAAATCTATGACTAAATCTGCGAAAGATGTCTTCTGTTATGCACTGAGCATATATGGAGAGTAAATTGTGCTTCCGTATAGAATTTGCAATTTAAAGGAAGTTTCAAAAATAATAAACATAGCATAATTACCAACATTTTGGCCATTTAAATAAAGTTGCATTTCTTGATATTATTTCTTGAATTAGTGTCTGGAAATTCATCAAAAATTCTCACTTCTTATATGCATCATTGTTTCTCATTTTAAATGCTCCTAACCTCCCATCTACATCTAGTAAAAATAAAATAAGCTGTGTGCTTAAATTCCTCACATTCTCATATAGTTTGTATTAAATGTGGAGTGCTCTCATACTCAAATGAGAATGGATACATGTGCTACTTATCCCAAACACAGAGCAATAGTTTGGACAGCCCTGCTTAGATAAGAAAGTATTTGGATTCTCCCATTTGCAACATGTCTGCAGTGTGCTGTTGGTTAAAAAATTATATCTTACTGCAATCCATATCTCATTTATGTAACTGTTTATTCATCTAAAGACCTTTATGATTTCTTCACTTGTATGAAAGTACAAGCATTACTTAAAATATTTTGCTCATATCTACTTGTAAAATTCCTNTGCTTATGCTATAAGTGTGTTTAGTAGATTTATGTTTAATCCGGGAAAATCTCATTGGGCTAGGTTAAAATGGCTTCTAATATACATAGCTAGAACATTAAATATGGTATTGATGTTTGAAAAGAGATCCAAACAACTCACTTTAAAGGGGCATGTAGACTCGGACTTTGTCGGTGATAAAGATCAAAGAAAATCTACTGTCGCCTATTTCTTCACACTAGGTGACAGTTGCATTAAATGAAAGTCACAACTTCAACTTATTGTCACATTATTTAGCACAGAGACTGAATATGTGTCAATAACGAATCTGTAAAAGAGAGTATCCGGTGAAAGGAAATTTTGGGAAATTGAATTTTTGCAAGAATCACCCATTATTTTTATTGATAGTCAAAGTGCTTTCTTGGTATGTAAAAATCCAGTTTATCATGAGAAATTTAAGTACATTGAGGTGAAGTATCACTTCGTTCAAGAGAAAACTACATGTGGTAAGACTATACTTAAAAAAAATTCATACCAATGTGAATCCATCTGACATGGGAACCAAAATTTTGACTGTAGGTAAGTTTAAATCATATTTTATCTTTACTACATATTGATACAGGTTAATCTTTTGCACGTACCAAGGATAATGATGTAGGGTAAGATACCGTCACATGCATGTAACAACCATAGAGAGTTAAGGGTCTGTGAAAATAAGGTGAAGATTGTAGAATGTGTTTTTAAAAGGTCCCCAAGATCCGCCTTCACAAGTGAAAAAAACATTTCTTGATTCTCCTATCCACTTGGCATTCACTGGTTAGCTAACTGCTTTTTGCATGGATTTGTGTTTGTTGAAATTGGGCTGGACCATTGATTTAATTCAATGGTTGTGATTTAGATCCACATTATACTTTGACCTTTGGCTGGCCATTTGGACGCGAGAAAGTCTCATTTTTCACTCTCTGGTTTTTTCATACAGTCTCTCGCAATTTTTGGGCCTTTTCTTGTTCTTCATCTCTGTAAATCAGATTTATTGATTAACTAGTGTTGTAATTAGATCTTGGCCTTGTTTGTGGTCTTCGGTCTATGGTAGACTCCAATGGTGTTGTTATTTATGTACATTCCGCCCTGACTGGATGTTGATTCAAGGTTTTATGTCCAGTGTTGAACTGTAAAGGGTGTTACTACACTTGAGTCGATTACGCATTATTGTGAGATCCTTAAAGGATCGATGATCTACTATTGAGTCGGTGGTTTGATTGTTGTAATTCAAACTTTTGCTCTCTCCTGGGAAGTTCTTGCACATAGTGAGGGCCTCTTACCTCTGAGCCCCATAGTAGGATATTTCGAATTGGGTGACCGATTTTTGTGTTGTTCTTGCTGTTTTATGTACTGCGTGGTTTCGATTATTGTGATTCATGTGGTTTCGATTATTGTGATTCATACATATACTAGGGTCGAAAATCATATATATATATATATATATATAT